GTCTACACCCCATCGGTCATGCGCTTTCACAGATTCCCGCCCTACTTTTGTGCTCACCAGTTCTACCTGGTTTTCTCTCAGGGTTCTAAACCACAAGAACATGCTGGGTGTGCTCCCCGTGACACAGAGGCTGAGCTGCTCCCGCCAGGGCCTCCTGTACTGACTCGAGACATCTGACCATGTTCCTGGCACCTTGAACTCCACGGCCTGCCATCCACTGTCAGGCTTTCGACCTGATCTGTCCATCCTCACCTTTCCCGGCTTCAGCCTCGGAAGGCCTCGGACCCTTATTTCCACATTCGCTGTCCCCGAAAAGCCACTCAGCAGCAACACGGCTGAAAGAAGTGCATTTTCTCCGGCTGTTTCCTTCCCACTTAATTTAAGTACAGTGTTGTTAGCTTGTTCTAATCAATAAATGGGCATTGGAAGGTTTATCCACGAGGTGACACCTTTGCAAGGCCAACAATTTTCCTAAGCCCTCGTTTGAAATATGGGCGCATAGTGATGGCTTATCCAGAAGAACCTGCAAATGCATCTCCTACTTTAGCTATTATCTTCTTGGTAAGTTGGTAATATTTTTAACTTCAGGGAAAAATATCAATACAGACTGCTTGAAAGCACAAAGCTGCCTCCTGCTGTGGATCTATAGGGGAGACTAAAGAGAAAACCCTCCATCTACCACAAGACCCTTTGTAGACGAATGCGGGCTGGACTCACAGCTTATAAGGCAACGTGAGGGGCGCCAACAGGTCCCAGACACGCAACGAAGCGGGCTCGGTGCCGTCTTTCCTGGGGGACTGATGCCTGGTCTGGCTACTTCCTGGACGTGAGTGCAGCGGGGCAGGCAGGGGAGCTGGCCCCAGAAGGCTGAGGCGTGGGTAGGGGCTGGATGGTTCACCCCCGCTGGGCTCTCCGCGGAGGACCCCAGGTGAAAATGTCACTCCCGGACTGACGTGGCCTCCACTGGGAGGCACATGGCCGGGTGGGACTGCACCCAGGACAGCGGGAGGTTAGCTGATTCATCTGACAGGGCCTTTCCCCTAACTCTCTGACACGGCTTTCGGTAGAGGCCCTTTTGCAAGGGGTCCTGCAGAGACACAGAAGATGAGAATCCTTTCTGAGGCTCTGTGACAGAAGTCACGCAAAGCTTATTTCCAGCCAGCAGGTTTGAAAAAATTCAGGTATCACTGCTGTCATTCAACTGGATTTCATAGCTACAAGCTAATAGCTGTGACAAAGGAATTATTAAAGTGTTAAATATTTCATTTAAAAGGGAACATTGCCGTCACTTTAAAAAGAAAACTCAGAACTCATCTGTTGAAAAACCAACATCTGTGAGCTGGGCCTCAGAAGGCCAGCTGATGTCCATCCACACTCCCACCGTGGGGCTGCCTGCTGTGGGCGTCCAGAGCATAGGCCCTGCCTTGGGGGAGGGACCTCGGTGGGTGCCCCAGGGAGCCCCTCCCCCAGCCTGGCAGGAAAAGCAGGAAAGGCTGGGGTTAGCGGCCCAGCCGCCCGTCTCCCCGGCCACCGGCCGCCTGTCCACCACGCCTGCCGCTCCGGAGCGTCTCCATGGGCAGAGGGCTTGCAGCAAAGAGCAAGTGTCTACACACACTCTGTATCTGAAAGCTGATCTGATTGTCCATAGCCTGCTTTTCTTAAATTTACTGTGAAATACTGCTTTTGGCAAAGTGCTACTTTTATTATTCTCACTGCTTTTGCCACTGACCTCTAAGGCTATTTTAAGATGCATATTACACAAAACAGCTAATTTCTTTTTATAAGTAAACATAAAGAAGTTAGGGAGTGTAACAGAAAAGAAGTTTAAATGGTATTTCATTATGAAAGAAACATTAAGTAAAGATTTATTTTAAGAATAATGGCTTCATTAAATAACTCTTTCTTGGAGAACAATGAATTCAAGATAAACAAAACTGACCTGTGAAAGAGGTTTATAGGGAGGGCCTGACCTCCCAAAAATGCTTCCCTGCGCTACCAGGCTGCGAGCGCTCCGTCACTCCGTCACAGTGTGGGAAGGAAAGCACGAGTCTGTTGACACTTTTAATAAACCAGATTAGCAAAAACCCAAAACCCAAAAATCCTCCCCGAAACACAAAAAAAAGAAAACTTAAATTTTTTTTTTTTAGATAATGCCCTGCTAGTAAAACAATAATCTCATGAGAAATTCATCTTACTCCACAGCTTACCATTCGATTTAATTTCTTCAGCAGCACGAGACCCTGCTGCCAGAAACTACACCCTCCCACACAGAAACCCTGTCTGCCCCGGCCCCAGAAAAAGGCAGCCGCACAGACTTACGTATCTGTGGTCAGGAAAGGCAGCCGTACGCGTCCCGGGAAGGAATTCCCAGGTAATTAACTTGTTACTAGTCAAATTTTGGAAACTCTAAGGTAAGACGTTGAACCATACGAAGTTTTCAGCACTTGATGTTTTAAACCTACCAGAATGGCAATTTCATATGGCTCACCCTAGCACACATTTCTGTGACTCTTTAAACAAAATGAACCCACGGTGAGCTGTGCACTCATCTCACAGATCCTGCAGAGGAAAGGTGGTCTTGCCCATGCACAGGGGGGTCCTTTCGGCAGCAGGACAGGCCATGCTTCGGCCTGAGGAGGGGACAACGGAGGGTCACGGGCATTAGGAAGAAAGACTCAGAGAAGGGGCTGGAATGCGAGGGTGAGCTCGCTGCTAATGACCCTTTTTAAAGCAAGTTGAAGCAGATAGACCTGGTCCAAGCAAGAACAGGATGAAAAATGATACGCAAAGGTATGCTCCACATACAAATTCAAAAATTAAAATGCACAGAAAGCGGGATTTGCCAAGGAAACTTATTCCACATTAAAATGGACACATGCCTCCCAGTTTTCCAGAAGGTTCATTTCTTTGTGTTAATCCACAGCTTCCAGAGCTCTGAGGGTTGTCCGAGGGTTTCCCTGTGTGTGTCAGCCTCTGCCCATGGCCCCACAGGCTCCCAGACAGACAGCAGAAAGACAGCCACGCCCACGGGGACAGGGAGCGGGCGATGCCACAGCTGGGGTCAGGGCCAGTCAACTCACACTGGCCACTGTGGTGGAGCCAGCCACCACCTCCCTTTCTAAACTACAGAATCCCACACCTGGGCTCTGCCCAGCAGTGAGAGATTGGGCTAAATTAGAAACCCTGACCTCATGCCCGCCGAGTGTCAGCAGGCAGGTGCTTGATGGAGGGGACCTGGACCCACTCAGAAGCGCCCGCCAGGACTGCAGGGCTTGTCTGACGGCGGACTGGCTACTGGGGTGACTGGCTGGCCTTCCTCTTTACCCAGTGGCTACTTCTCCTGGTCTCCGAGACCCGCCATGACCATGACTGGCTGGTGAGAGGACGAGAAGCCGGGGAAGGGTGGCCGGTCCCACCCCCTCCAAGCGCTGAGAGCAGGACTTCAGGGTTTTACAAGCTCACCCTCCCCCCCGACCCTGTCACATCACACGGATACCCCCGCCGTGGGGCTGTCATATTTCTGTTCTGAAAATCCCAAAACCTTAAATTTCAGCCCAGTCATCTGACAGACTTAAAGGGAAGGAACGCCGGTTGGACGGCTCTTTCCCGCTCCTACGGGCAGAGCAGGGGCCCAGGGGACAGGCGCTCTCTGCTCCACGACTCCCCACCTCGCTTCAGGGTTCCTGGACTGCACAGCAGAATCCCCACCGTCCCTGGCACCGGGGCGGCGCACACGAGTACAGTCATTGCACCCTCGGCTCAGCCCGCGACGCGGGCGGGGAGCGCGCTGGGCAGCGGCCCCGCGAGCAGCTGCAGCCCCACCTTGGCCCCTGGAGGGCGCCGTCGGCAGCTGACTGAGGGCTCTGGACACGTGTGGAGTGTCCTGGGGAGCCCACTCCAGCTCCCACATCCCATCCTAGAGACCCCCCCTTTTAGAAACTCCGGAGCAACCACTGAAAGGGAGCTTCTGGGGACAGTCCTGGATGACAAAGGGATGACAGGGCACCCTGTGTGTCACACCTGGACAGTTTCAGTTCGTTATGGCAAACGCGGTCTGGTTTCATGTGTTCACTGCTAATCAACTCAGGTACTGGCTCAAGTTTCTGGAGCTTCTCTCCTCCTTCCTCGGAAAACTGCACTTTCAAGTCCTTCTTGCTGGAAGTCATAGCAGCAGTCAGAACACCATTAAACCTACTTGGTAAACTCCACTTTCAAGTCCAAGACTGCTTTAAATTCACCTCCCCTAAAATCTCAGGGTTAGTTTCTTTTTTCTTTCAGTATATGTATGTATACATGCACACACATGTATGTATAGGAATGCTCATTTATATTAAAATGACTACAAAAATCCCTATGCAAAGTAAACCTGTGGTATGTGTCTAGAATGATTTTCGTTGCCATCAGTTAAGATCCAAACAAAAGCTTAAAAAGACATGTCTGGGAAATGGTTTCTAGGTTATCACAGATTTTATGTGCCTCTGGCACACTCCATTTAGACAACAAGCTCTCAATTCATCCCTTAAGAATATCACATCTAAGTATGTAAGTTTGAGACATTAAACCAAAAACTCATCCAGGAAGACAAGGCTGCTACCCACTTTGCTGTGTCACCCGTTGAGCTGACGGAAGGGGCTGACTGTCCACATGCAGCCTGGTTTTCTGTGCTGTTGGCGAGCAGAAAGGTTAAGTTCACAATGAGCTTATTGAAAAATTTACTGCCATTCAGATGTGTTCCTATTTAAACCTTCCAGCCAGCGAGCGTCCCGAGTTGATGTGCATGCATCATTTTTACTGCCTTCGCCAAGAATTACGTGACCACGTGCCAAAACTAACACAACCGTTTGGAATGGGTGTCCTCACAGCGTGGCCACAGGCTGTCTCTGTTTAGATGATGTAAAAATACCAAGTCGGTAGGGTCAATAAAGTGGGCTGTGATGTAAGTGCGAGTTCATAAGGCAGGCTCCCCGAAGGCAACACGGGGAGGCGGCCGAGTTACTGACCTTGCTGGAAGACGGGATGGTGAAGGGCAGGCACGGGCAGCTCCGGGAGGGCTGAAGGCTCGTGGAAGTAGGCGTCCAGCCAGGCTGCGCACTGCACGAGGGGCTCTGCCGTGTCGCCTGCACCAGGGGCCTCCGTGGGGCTGCAAAAGTGATAACAGGAGCTTAATATACCTGGAGGCCTCAGCCTACACATCTGAAAAGCACACAGAGAACACTACTGTACCGAAATGGGTCAAGTGTGCAGCTGTTTCATGAGGATGCATGCCTCGACGCGCTGTGTGACAGGCACGACGACAGCAGATGGTGGCTGGGGCAGGTGAGGGGTGAGACGCCCAGAGCTATTTCACCCACGCCTCCACCTCTGGCTTTAACAAAATGAGGGGCGGTTCCTAGGAAGGGACTTCCCACCACGGCTCTCCTATTCGCAGTCACACTGTCAAGCAGGATTTGACAGAACAATGACAAGGGCTGACACGACGGAGTGGGAGTGCGCCTGTCCCTTTGCAGGACTAATGTAGACAGATGTGTATTCATTTGCATCTAGTTTCATCTGTAAAATCTCCAAGTGTTCATTATCAAAAGTATTTTCCAGAAACACTATTAGAGGAACCTGTACCACTTACCCTCCCACCCCCCGCTGAATTTCAGCAACAGAATCACACCCTCATGCGTTTAGGTCGCTTTGTGCTGCATTCCGGGGGATTTCCTCCCGGTTTGCTTTCTATCCACTGATTCTCACGCTCCAGAGAGTCTAATCCATGTGCAGGTCGCTCTGTGAGTTTGTAAGTTCGGTGACAGCACCAGGACTTTTACGCCTGGATCTCCCGTTTGTTTCTTTTTCAAATCCTCTCGCTTGTTCATTGTGGTTGCCAGTCTTCCTTTTACCTCCATAAGTTTAAACGAAACTATTTTAGACTTGCTTCAGACGGTTTCATTATTCCTCCTACTCGGGGTTCTGAGTCTTGTTTCTGGGACCCTGTTGTCACTCCTCATGGAGCTGGCTTCTGTTTGGCAGAGGCTGATTATCTGGGATGTGTTCCGCTGGATGGAGAAAACGTCCCTATGAAGAAGGTTCACTTCTGCTTCTTCTGAGCCCTGGAGTTTTAGGATGGATTTAGTTATTTCTCTTTCCTGGGACTCCATACTCGTGGCAGCGCTGGAAGGTGGAGAGGTCACCACAAAAAAAGGCGGCGCAGGAATCTCTTCCGGAGCCCCTCCCGCCTCCCTGCCCGCGTCCCGACGGCAATGCGTGTTGTGCCTGTCTCCAGGCTGCCCTCCTTCTGCAAGTGCTCACTGCCTCACGAGGGTCCACGTGACGTGCAGAGGCCACCAGCACTTGGTCATGCATCCCAGCCCGGGAGCCTGGCTGTGCCTGCACAGGTAGGGGACACCATGTGAGCGGGCTCTGCAGACTGAGATGTCCTGCTTTGTGCTACAAGCACTGTTGAGCAGCTGCTGCCCTTACAGCAGGGCTTATAAATCGTCGGGTGCTGGAGTCTGAGTCTCCTTGTCACAGGGCTTTGTAGATGTAAGAGTCTCCACTGAGGTCCCTGGACCTCTCCAGAGATGAACTGCCCCCTGATGGATGCACAGAGGTCCCCTGTGTAGTTTCTCAGTGGAACGGGAGGTGGTCAGGGAAAGCTCTTAAAGCTGTGAATATGGAAGTGTTAAAGGAGGAACCAAAGAACAAACAGGAAAAGAAATGAGCCCAACAAGATGGCCAGGGACCAAGGGACAACTGAAACTTAAGCCCCACCAAGCCGGCCAGAGTTGGGCAATCCTGCGGACAATAGGACTGGATGGGACAGGTCCAGGCCTCTTCCCAGCTGCCACCTTTCCTAGATATCTGTGAGGGGAAAGCCACATCGACAGGACCCTTGGTCCACCCGGACCTTGAATCAACAGGGCTCCTTGGGGGACTGGTCACCAAGAGACCCCATGGGACGCAAGCTCACTCCACAGGCAGAGAACAGGTGACAGATGGCCTCTCAGAGACACTCCTGGGGACGGAACCGCTGTCTCCTCAGTGCCCTGATGTTTCTCTCCACGAGGACGTCTAGACATGGAAAGGAGGACCTCTGTCTCAACGTGGCTTAAATGTTATTCAATGTCAGCGAGAAATTCTCAGTCACTGTTCTCGTCTGTTCCTTACTTCCCGAAAAACCAGTGTACTGATGATAGCTAAGAAGAAAGGTGAGAATTCTGTCATGTGCTTTGCATCCTGCTCCCAGGGGACAGAGCGAGGGGGAGCAGAGGAGGCACAGAGGGTAAATCAGAGGTCCCTCCGGACAAAGCCAAGACCATGCAGCCCCCAGCTGACGACGCCACTCTGAGCCGGCAGCCATCTAGACACGACGCCTGCTCAGACAGGAGGTGGACAGCGCTAATGTGCCAGTGTCACCATCTTCAACCCACGGGGGACTTCCCTCCGAGGGAAGCTGGAGAGGGACAGGCTCTCCTCCAGACGTCCACGCTGAACCCCCTTGGCCTGGTGCGTCTGCGGGACCCTCACAGGGCTGGGCGCCGGTCAGGAATGGCGGCCAAGGCCAGCTGCTCACAGCCATGGCTGGTCCGCCGGCCTGTGGCGCCCCCCACCCCATCACACACACGGCAAGGACTTCCTGGGGTGTAGGGGGATGCACTGCAGGAGATGGGGCATCCTGAACCCCGAGGCAGGGGCTTCTGTTCCCACCAGCCACCTCACTCACATATCGCCCCAGTGACACAGGGCGCGCGTCCGGGTGTCCCATGGCACTGCCCACACTGGTGGCCGTGTCCTCCGAGCTGCTGAGGGAATTGAAATGTGAGCTGTTTCCTAGCATTTCCCACTCTTAAAAGGATATTTGAAGAATTTTTATAGTAGTAAAATTCATCTTAAATTGATTTTTTATGCTTGTGCTAAAGATCTCAACCTCTGATTTACTCTGCAGCTCTCCTTTTTAACTCTTTCTCTATTGGCATTAGATTACTATTCATGGGTGAAATGTAATTAAACAGCTTTGATTCCGAAGCCAGGATTTATGATACTACATTTAAAATGAATGGCATTAAACACACACATAAAACCAGATTTTTAAAGCCATGACACAAATTTCCATTTCTACAATAAAATGAAATTTATTCCCTGCCCTGCCCTCTCCTCCAACCTTGCTCTGCCTGTCCCTGAAAGAGCTGTGGTGTGACCGTCTCCCAGCACTGCTAATGGCTGCTCTTATCATCGGGGAGGTCCCCCAGCTCCCCGCTGCCGACCCTGAAAGCCCGGTCATTATGAGTCCCACGGCCCGCGCTCATTTAAACCCCATGTTCAAGCCTTCATGGGGAGCCTCGCAACTCGCCCACTCCTGATGTGCAAACACCTGCGGCCACTCCACTGTGCCCAGGAATGCACTCCGGAACTGTGGGTGCCCCGACAGTGCCCGCAGCCTTGGCTATGGATGCGTCAGAGACACGAGGAGACCCCGTCCCGAAATCGGGGACTTCAGAGTCAGCACCCCAGGACGTCTCCCAGGGTGTCTCAATCCGAGTATTCCTGAGGCGTAGCTTGTGACACTGGAGCTCTTTCATTAATACTTTTTTTATTAGCTTGGCACAGAGGGCTGGCTAGCGGCCGCAAAACGAACCTGGCTTTGTTGAGCTTTTGAACGTACGACAATGGTGAGCACTGGGCGGGTACCTCCTACAGCAACCGTGAAACCACATCTGGTTTGGTTTAAGGGTTCCTTCAAGGAATACGCAACTGTTGGCAATTCCAGGGACTCCGTAAGAAGAAATAGGACCACAGTGTGCTGACTGTGGGGGAAGCTTCCGGAGGGTCAGTGTGCCGGAAAGCCCTGTGTGAAGCTGTCCTGGAGCTGTGACCTGTGAGAGGGCCCTCACCCACTCCCTTCCTGGGCTTGGAGAAGAATGTTCCCGTGTTGAGCCGTTTCGATATAAACCTGTCCTTCACCCCAAACGAGGACATAGAAAAGTAGATGAAACACCCCAGAACTTCTCAAATGCTTCTAATAAAGCAGGCCATGATGCCCCCTGCAGATATTTTATCGGGGAGCCCCCAACTCCACAGCTCAGAAAGCACTCACGGCAAGGCTGCCCTCCTACCTGTAAGCAGCTCGCATTTCAGAAACGCGAAGGAGCAGCAGCAGCCGGACACCTGGCGAAGCAGGACGACAGGGTGGCCGAGCCACATGGACAGGAAACGGCCCCGGGGACAAAGCGGCGCCTAGTTCTAGTTGGCCTCCCCAGGGCACGGTGCGGTCAGCGAGGTCAGCCCAAGGCCAGCTCGGGCGGGTGGCGGCCACTGTCTGCTGCAGGCTGCCAGGACCAGGGATTCGCCGAGAAGAACCCTGCCTGCCCGCAGTGGGCACCACGTGGGCAAAGCATGGCAGGCCCGCCAGGCCCCCTGGAGCCTCAGGTACGGGTGTGTGGGGGGGCGGGGGAGTGGAAGGGCTCAGCACCGCGTCTTCCAGCCTCTTCGCATGTTCCCCACATGCTCAATCCTCTGAAACTCAACCCGACTGGTGGGAGACTTGGGCATTCAGATTCGGGGGTGCCTCAAGACTTTACTGGCATCAAAGAATCACTAACTCTTCATTTCTGAATGGATTCTACTCCTCAGGGACATTGACATGTCATGTACTTGGCCTAAATCCCGTTTGATGTAAGACAGCGGGCCACGGGTTCTGTCACTCACACCTGACTGGCACCATTGCCCCCAGGAGCGGACCCCTGAGCTCTGTGCATCCAAACGCCTGTCGTTCTGACCCCAGAACTCTGACAACCTCTCTCTCTTCACAGGATGAAACTGAGCCCTTACGGTTTGGAAATGTTAACTGGTGATGCTGGAGGGTCACCCGAGGAAAGAGCCCACAGACCCGTATACTTCTGAGTTCATCTGGAACTTGGCAGGGAGTTGGCCCAAGGATGTGGCGTCCAGCAGGGCTGGGAGGTCGGTCTGCACGGAACGCCGCGATGCTCAGAGCCCACGTTTACGGGAGGGAGGGGGAGCCCAGAGCCTCGGCGGAGGCCGGCACCTCACGATGTTTGGCACCTAGACATGAGAAGCGCCTCCCAGGCTGAGCTAGCGGAGCGAGTCTAACCTTCTCTGTGTCGCAGGTCACAGCCTGGAGGGAAAGATCTCTGG